GAGAAGGGAAAGGGAAATATAATGATAGAGAAGGGAAAGGGAAATATAATGATGGAGAAGGGAAAGGGAAATATAATGATGGAGAAGGGAAAGGGAAATATAATGATGGAGAAGGAAAAAGGATGGAAAGGGGAAACGTAACTGCAAAGATGAATAAGGGTGAACGGAACGATAAGGATGGACAGGGGAAAGGAAAATAGTAGGATGGACAGGGGAAAGGAAAATAGAAGGATTGACAGGGGAAAGGAAAATAGAAGGATGGACAGGAAAACATGTTTAATAGAAAGGGGGATAGTTAATTAGAAACCATCTTTATTCTGCACTAATTCTTTGTTTTTGAGTTTAAATAAATTAGCCAAAAAAAAACTTAGATAGAAAATTTAAATATAACCAATCAATTATATTTTTCGCGAGCACCCTTTGAAACCCTTGTAAAGAATCTGAAAATATTTTAAAGAACTCAAACGATTTCCTCCATACCCCGGTATAAATATTTTATAAAACCCCAGTAATTTCCTCCATACCCCGGTAGAACTTCGACAAGAAACCTTTCAGTCACAAAAACCATTTGAGTAAACACGTTAAATACATTCAAATATACTCATACAAATAATATAAATACGGGATATAAATACCATATTGACACTCATCTTTAAATCCCCCCCCCTTCCACTCTGATTTCCCCCCCCCCCTCACACTCTCCTGTCTCTCAAAAAACGCATTCCTAATGTATTCATCAGTATTTAGAACCTTGTCAAAAGTGACACTTTTTTAAATATGCAGGGTGGGGGTGGGGGGGGGCAGGTGCTCTTATTATTAACATACTTTTCTTTATGTGCTTTTTAACACAAGGGTCAAACAAAACTAAAAAGTGTAAAAAGGGTATTTTTTCAAATAAATAATATTTAGTTAAAAATTTAATTAATAATGAATGATAAAAAGAGACAAGATAAAGTTTAACGTCTCTATTTGTCTGGAAGGACTGGAAGGCAGTGTTTACTATCAGCTTTGTTCTGCTTGACTCGCAAGAATAGATATAAACTGATAAATAAGATATAAACTGATAAATCAGTCAGATATTATCCAAATCAAGGTCCGGAACAAACGTCTCCTGAATTTTGACTTTGTCACAAATAAAATCTTAACGGTTTAAAAGCATATGCAGTATTTATACACTATTATCTGAGTTTTCAAGTATTTATTTTTTTGTGAAATATAAGATAGTATCCCTTTAGTTTATTATGGTTTCTCTTTATCCTCCCCCGCTATTAAAAAAACATCTGCCGCATGTTTTCTAACCCCCTTTACCCCCTGTGCCCCCGTGTTGCCCCCCTCCGGTCGCCATTCCCCCTGCCTCTATAGTGTCAGGAGTCTTTTTAAACAGTATAATGCTCAAGTGTATGTATCTATAGTCCATACGGTAAATAGACAGATGCTAAACATGGATAAAGATAGACAGCTAGACAGATAGATAAAAGACGGATTTGGCATAGCAGTGTATCTGGGAGGGGCCTGAAACCATGTTCTAGAAAATGAAACCAACCCACCAGTCTATCATTTAGTTAGGAGATAGAGAGAGAAAGGAGAGAGAGTAGATAGAGAGATAGATAAATAGATTAATTGATTGTTTTATTGATTAACTATCTGATAGATATAAAAAATGTATGGATTGATTTACTGATTGACTGATTGATAGATATATAAATTGATTGATTGGTTGATTTATTGATTAGCTGATTGATAGATAGATAAATAGATTGATTGATTGATTTATTGATTAGCTGATTGATATATAGATATTAAATAGATTAATTAATTGATTTATTTATTGACTGATTAATATATGGATACATTGATAACAGGATTTAATTATTTATTTATTTATTTATGAAAATTGATTTACGAATTGACTGATTGATGGATGGATAAATAGGTTGATGGATTGATTTATTGATTAACTGTTTGATAGATAATAAATAGATTGACTGAGAGATAAATAAATAGATTAATTTATTGATTGACTGTTTTATAGAAAATAAATAGATTGACTGATAGATAAATAAATAGATTTTTGATTGACTGTTTTATCGACAATAAATAGATTGACTGATAGATAGATAAATAGATAGATTTTTGATTAACTGATTGATCCATGTATAAATTGATTACTTAACTAAAAAGGGGGTATAATAAATCTACAGAATTTTTTCTCTTTGTATATATATACTGGAAAAATCATTTCCCCTTCCCCCCTCGTCAAAAATAAAGCCTAGCGAAGGAGAAATTTTTTGCTGAAATTCAACTTTTCAGGGAATTTTTAACTTTTGAAACTTTTTATTTAAATTATGAAAACTAGAAAATGTCATAAAAATACAATTTATCTTAAATCAATATAAAAAGAGGCCAAAACAGATATAGTTGTGCTTTTATTAAAATTTGTTTTAAAGTTACTATTTGTAGAAATTAGTACTCAATGATAAAAAAAACTACCATCTCCATGCCAAGAAATTAAAACATTTTTCAATCTTGTATTGTATATATAGTGCATGTTCTTTAATCCTTCCTTCTCTCTAGTATATTGAAAGGAATACTATTATATAAAGGAGGTGTTCTGTAATCCTTCCTTCTCTCTGGTATATTGGAAGGAATGGTATTGTATATAGGAGGTGTTCTGTAATCCTTTCTTCTCTCTTGTATATTAGAGAAATGGTATTGTGTAAAGAGGTGTTCTGTAATCCTTCCTTCTCTCTGGTATATTATAAGGAATGGTATTGTATAAAGGAGGTGTTCTGTAATCCTTCCTTCTCTTTGGTATATTAGAAGGAATGGTATTGTATAAAGGAGGTGTTCTGTAATCCTTCCTTCTCTCTGGTATATTAGAAGGAATGGTATTGTA